ATATAAGCTGACTGTTTGATGACATACACATATTGACCTTGACTGACTCCCAGGGGCGGAGTGGCCAAAAGTGGGTCAAATTAAGTGAAATTTTAAAGATTTTCTGAATGGAAGACTTTTTTATAAGGAAAAACAGTTAATGTATATATAATTTAATTTTGAATTATGTGGACAATATAGTTATATTACTTTTTAAACAAAACCATTTCTATGAAATGTTACAAGAACCATTGTGACGCAGGTGACCTTTAAGGCCCTTGGACTCTTGTAATGTTTGTCCGACCAGTTTTGAGAATGTGACCTTATTTCCATGGTTTGACACAGATGTATAAGGCAGATGAAGTCATGTGTTGTTGATTTTTCATGCGTCTCATTCCTTGTTTTTGTCTTGATATCAACTACAAACAGTTCATCTAGTTTTATGCATCATGAGGAAGCAATTTACCTTAAGATTTAATCTGTAGGAGGAAGAAATCAAATTATTCAATTAAATGTCAAACTCAGAAAGGTGGAAGAAGTGATGATCCAGGTCACAGAGCCATTCAAACTCAGAAAGGTGGAAGAAGTGATGATCCAGGTCACAGAGCCATTCAAACTCAGAAAGGTGGAAGAAGTGATGATCCAGGTCACAGAGCCATTCAAACTCAGAAAGGTGGAAGAAGTGATGATCCAGGTCACAGAGCCATTCAAACTCAGAAAGGTGGAAGAAGTGATGATCCAGGTCACAGAGCCATTCAAACTCAGAAAGGTGGAAGAAGTGATGATCCAGGTCACAGAGCCATTCAAACTCAGAAAGGTGGAAGAAGTGATGATCCAGGTCACAGAGCCATTCAAACTCAGAAAGGTGGAAGAAGTGATGATCCAGGTCACAGAGCCATTCAAACTCAGAAAGGTGGAAGAAGTGATGATCCAGGTCACAGAGCCATTCAAACTCAGAAAGGTGGAAGAAGTGATGATCCAGGTCACAGAGCCATTCAAACTCAGAAAGGTGGAAGAAGTGATGATCCAGGTCACAGAGCCATTCAAACTCAGAAAGGTGGAAGAAGTGATGATCCAGGTCACAGAGCCATTCAAACTCAGAAAGGTGGAAGAAGTGATGATCCAGGTCACAGAGCCATTCAAACTCAGAATTAGATCAATTTGGCTACTGCTTCAGAGTATGTTATTCAAACATTAAAATTTTATTTTCAATGAGAATGCTTATCCGGAAAAGATGCAAATGTTTACTGAAGAGGACATTACATAACTATTAACGGAACAAAGCTTCTCTGTGATAGTAAAAATAAAAGACAAATATATATCTGTATGATATTGATTTAATGAAAAGATGTCAGAGAAATGAGTTTTTAATAAACCACTACCTGTACTAATGACAGTATATATATATACAATTGTGACATTTAGCAAGGAAAATATACACATCAAGAAAGTGTGACAATCAATAATGAAAAAAATATATGTATGTACAGATTATTGACAAAGCACCTCAAGATCATCATGCAGGGAATACTACCAATACGATCGTGTTTAGAAGGTTACAAACAATGACTTACTTTGTAATACTGAATGCTCAGTGCTATATATTAATGGGAGATATTTTCACAAACCATATTTTCATTAATCAGCATAAGTGTCTTCTAAATGACAGTTTGCCAGAAAGCATATGCTGATGAACTGCTAAGAGTTAAAATGAAAGACAGATACAAAGAACCAATCATTTTGTACTTTAGACAGACATAATTAACCAATCAGTGCACACTTTTTAAATGAAGATATTGACAAATCAACAAGGATGTTGGTATGTTTTATAATTACCAATCACTACACTCTAGCAATAATAGAAAGTAATGTCGACCAATCAATACATGCTAAACAAAAACAGAAGTATAACGAACCAATCGGTATGCACCTTACATAAATATAGGTGATGAGCCAGTCAGCACATACTTTACATCAATGTAGGGATAACAAACCAATTAGAACATAAGAACCTTACATAAACGGGGGTATCGTAAACCTATCAAGATACACCTTACATAAATGTAGGTATCGTGAACCAATCAAGATACAACTTACATTAATGTAAGGATAATGAACTAATCAGCATACACCTTACATAAATGTAAGCATAATGAACCAATCGACACACACATCGTACATAAATGCCGGCAGTTTAGAAGACTTGCTGGATTTTAAAAATATGGTTGCCATATTCATGAAAATTAGGCACATGTCAATGAACAATTTATCTCCACATTCTAATAAGATCTTTTAAAAATATCAAAATTGGCATTATTATCTTTTTCTTTACAAAAGTACAAAATGCTTGTTGAAGATGTTACATTGATAATGATGACTGCAATATGACAATTTATTAGTGTTGCCATTTTTTATTAAATACAATTTAGATACATTTTATATGAATATATGCTAATAGTATATGCTATATATGTACCTGGTAACAAAATATAAAGAATTTAAAAAAAAACGACAGGTATACATTTATTATGACACAGAATAAGTACAAATACTGTATTTTAAAGATGGACAATAAAAAGTTGAGTATTGCAGATACATATAAAGACAAAAACAATAGACATTTAGATATTTCTGAACCGGGTCCTACACCTACTCGAGGAGAATCATTTAGCCCTAAATATGTCATTATATACCAGAGTCATAACCAGTGTTTATTTACATCAAAATTTTCAGATACACCTGAAAAATTTTAAATCCGATCTAGGAAGACATCTAAACTATTTGTCCACCTATGATTAAATGGTTTTGAGATGTAGAATCTCGTATGTATTGGGTGTGAGAAATAGAATCTCAAATCTTAAATGGTATGATTGATGAGATAATTTCAACAGAATATTACCACTGTGAATTAGTGCACACCATAGCTGAGTAGGGCAAAAAATGGAGCCAATATATCTTGTAGCTGAAATAATGCCCGAGTAGATTTATAGGGAAAGAGTTTAGATGAAAGAAATCCTTTGTCAGTTTTCATTAACTTTATTAATTATAAAAGACCATTTATCCAGTATCTCCAATTTGCTGGTTTTTTTTATTTAATTCTTTAAATAACAATTACGTAAAGGTTAAAAAACTTCTCATCACACAATTACACAAAATTTACAAACATCTGTCTGACATATAAACATGGGAGAGAACATGATCTGTATTTCCTTGGGTTCTGCCCGGTTGTGCTGATTTGTAAAAAATAGTGAATATTAAATTGGACTAAAATGGAGGATGATGTATGAAGCCATAATTGAAATTAGATGTAAGTCCATACATTTTGAGAGCACCAATTAAGAAATTAAAATCGTCAAATGTCGACAATTCTTTAGAAAATTTGAATTCTGTTCAAAACAAAAATCAGTGAAATATGTTACAGTGTATAAGAAAGAAGTCTTCATGTTAAAAATTGTTTTAGAAAAAAAGTGAGTTTACTACAAATCAAGCATGGTAACTTCAAAAATATCTTTATTTTTACAAATAGTGCACCAAATACCCTGTCACATTTTATGCCTTATACAGCACACTTTGTACAAAACGCACAGGTGAATAAACCTACAATTGTGTTAGTGATTCAGAATATCATTAAATCATAAGACACAGAATAGATATCTCAAGATATTTCAAAGATTAACATATTAAACATTATTGAAAATTAAATTCTACATGAATTTTTTTCTTTGAAATTGCAAAAAAATATATATAAATTCTTGATTCAATATTAATGGGAAAAAATGAATTCAATTAGAAATTCAATGCTTTATTAGTAGTTTATTTCAATTAAATCATATTTCTAATTGTTCTTGTAAGTACTTACTGCAGAACGGTTTGCCATTAGCCCTATTACAGACTACAAGGTCTCCCTCGACTTATATGACCAATGTATGCAGGATTGAATATCAAACTACAATGTAGAACTGTTAATCACTTAGATTTCATGAATATCTCATTTCGAGGACTTACCTCTTCTGATGGATACATGATTTTGCAAACGGTGGTCTAGAAATGTTTTTCAATTCTTGAATGATGGCTGTTAGGTATATAGATAACAACATTGTTAATAGGATCAGCATGGCTGTCATCAATAATTATTTCTGTACAGATAATCGATAGGGGTTTGAATTCATGACTGGCTTTCATTGCATGTTATCATGAAAATAAATCTCAAGCCAAATGTAAGTGATTTACAGTATATAACCTGTTACATAACCTTACCCTGATGAAACGATATGGTAAAAGGTATTGAGTATTAAGTGGGATGCTGCTACAATAGAGATTAATGCACTGCCTTGTTACTAGTTTTACCCCAGTAACAGCGAAGTAACAAAATGAAACATATTAAAATACACCAATTAGGAGTTAATTTGTAAACTAGCTTGTAATATATGGAAATTACATAAAAACATGAAAATACATCAGAAGTGTAGGGGACATGTATGGTTAAACGTCAGTCACATATCAACAAAAACCAAATTAGTATAAGACTTTGGAAGTCAATTTCATGAGTTGTATGAATAGTGGTGATCCTATTCACCTGAAGTATTACACTGATTGACATATGATTTTAATACTTTACAACAGATATCTCAATGGTGCTCCCTTTATGTTTATAGCTGATAATATCTGATAGTGAATGGAACTGGAGATCTGAATGCAAGTTTCAAAAAATTCTGTACAAATTTTCATAAACAACCAGTAATTGTTAAAATTTATCATTGTGTACCTATGTAAATGTAAACAGTATGGTTCTTGAAAACAAAAAACAACAGATGTGTTTTTTATGTATATTTACATGTACCTATTTACCTATGGTAAAACCATTGAAATATATATATATATATGATTACAACAAATGTTGATGATTGATCACTACAATAGCCACAACCGAGAGGATTTTTATGTATACATATTTACTACATGTATATACAATATAAGTAATGAATGAAACAACTAGGATAAGTAAAACCATTTAACTCATCACCTTACTTTTAATTTATAAAAAAAGTGTAATTGCTTGCTTATTATAAAAAATGTGTTCAAATTCATTTTTCAAAAATTGAAAAGAAACTGTGTCTAAAAATAGACATCATCATCATTTAAAAAATGCTTAATTGGATTGCACACAAAAAATGAAATTCTGAAGGTTTTGCATGGACTTACTAGGGCCCAAGAAATCTCATACATGCATTCTGATGTCCTTATTTTTCGGAGATTTTCACATCATTATACATTATACAGTACATATTTTCCAAGAAATCTGTTGCAGGGAATAAAACACTTTTGATTCTCCCTTCTCTTTGTCATAGCAAGGGGAGGGAACTGATCTGGATTCTAATACAAGTCATTTTGTAAACCATATAAAAAGGGAGATAATCTCTCCTTACTGCAAATTCTATGAGCCAAGAGAATGGATTGAGATATTCTTCTTCTCTTTAAGAGCCTTTTGGCACTTGACAGTGAGCAAAACCAGTCTTTCTGAAGATCAATGGTCCTTTGGCCTGGATAAAGTTTGCCTATCCTCACTGTCATGATATGTTCCTCTTCCCAAGATAGGGAAATGCATCCCTCTGTCACATATCGAAGGTTCTTTTGACCTTTCACAGGGGAGATAATATCTCTGTATCTGTTCTTTGTCATAATCATGTTTCTCTTGTCCTATGATAAGGGAAGATAACCTTTGTTGTCTTTGACACTTGGGCATTTAAGAACCATATGTGTATTTTATGACCTCAAGCATAAGACAGTTATCTGTCTCACATTTTCTCATGAAAACAAATTGTGAGACGGAAAATTTATGTTGACAGTAACTTAAGTTACAATAATGAAGCGTTTCATAGAGCAATAAAAAAAAAATCAAAATATGATGTATGTACATATATTTATGTATACTTTTCTTTTTGAATAAGAAAGTCTCCACTTAACACAATGTATTATCATATTGCAACAAAAATTGTGCAGGTTCTACATAATGGACAACAACAACAATTATTTGAGTTTTTTCATGGACAAAAGATTTCTGTAAAAATGCTGGCTATAATTTCCTAAATTGAAATGTATAAATTTTAATTCTTTAAAGTATTAGAAGACATTTATTTATGGGTATACTTTAATCTAAACAGTACATATATATCTATAGATATATGTACATATCAGTGCAAGCATACCAACAAATGAGTCTCTATTGTACATTAGTACCTAAAAAACAGGTCTGCTCCCCAGTACATGTGTACTTATAAATGGATCTTCTCAGTACAAGTTTACCTATACATTGGTCTTCTGCTCAGTACAAGTTTACCTATAAATGTGTCTCTTCAGCACAAATGTACATATAAACAGGTCTCCTCCTCAGTACAAGTGTGCCTAGAAATGGGTCTCCTCAGTACATGTGTACCTAGAAACAGATCTTCTCCTGGGTACATGTATACCTAGAAACAGGTCTACTCCTGAGCACATGTATACTTAAAAACAGATCTACTCCTCAGTACATGTGTACCTAGAAACAGATCTACTCCTCAGTACATGTGTACCTAGAAACAGGTCTATTCTTCATTACATGTGTACCTAGAAACAGGTCTACTCCTGGGTACATGTGTACCTAGAAACTGGTTTATTCCTCAGTACATGTGTACCTAGAATCAGGTCTATTTCTCAGTACATGTGTACCTAGAAACAGGTCTGTTCCTCAGTACATGTGTACCTAGAACAGGTCTACTCCTCAATACATGTGTACCTAGAAACAGGTCAACTCCTTAGTACATGTGTACCTAGAAACAGGTCTATTCCTCAGTACATGTGTACCTAGAAACAGGTCTACTTCTCAGTACATGTGTACCTAGAAACAGGTCTACTTCTCAGTACATGTGTACCTAGAGAGGAACAATTCTAGCAGTAAGATGATATATTTGATATTATTTTCCTGCTAATCAATATATTTCCCTTTTACTTAAAATTTTTGTATACATTGCATCAGGAGATTATCAAGTGCATCCTTTCATAATTAACAATCCACAAATGTATCCAGGTTTTTTAGAAAAGCAATTGAATAGCATAGAAATATTTTTGTTCTGTTTTATAGCAATCTTACTTATTGATATTGGACCTGACTGAGATCAAGGATTCTGGGAACGAGTCGAATGGGTCAGTAAATACCAGAAGGCCATATAGAACTACTTCTACCCAAAGAATAGCATAGCCAGCTGTACAATTGTATTTTTTCTCTTTCACTTATATTTGCTTTTACTCTGCACTCTGAAAGATATCAAACAAGCCTTTTTCATTTCAAGAGAGAAAACTTTCTTATCTACTCCATCCTCACCAAAGAATGACAACTCTTCAACTACTAAGGAAAGACAACTCTTCAAGTCCTTATATGAAGCAAAATCATGACATGATTACTTGCACCAAACACAGACTGAGATGTAGAGTTATCATTAACCTTGATTATGAAAAGAATGTTCTAGATTTTGACCATGATTGCCTGTATCTTAGAAACTAACGTAGAGCTAAGTTAGTGTTTCAGGTATGACCAGTTTTGAGTGATTGGAATTATAAATCTTCCAAAATAATAATTTGTGATTGACAGAATAAATAATTTTCAAATTGATGATGACCATTCGTTTAACATCATACATATTTTCTATCTTAGAAGTCTACCTTGACTATATAAACCATCTTTCAACATACTTTCTAGAATCCTGGCTTCTCAATCAGGCTAAATCTCCATGACTTAATGTTACACTGAGTGACAACAATATGACTACAATATTTCCATATCACCTAGCTGCCTTGTGATTAACTGACTTCTGGGTACATGGACTTGTCTGTGGCAGGTCCATTAGGGGGAGGATGTATTGTATTGTCATCCTCTAGATCCTGTAGTTCGACCTCTCCTCCCTCTACAGCTAGAGCTGCTTCCTGTTCATCTAGTTCTGCCAGCTCTTTGTGCGAGAGGTGAGCTACAATGGCTGCACCGTAACTGTCACCAAGAACGTTGATGGATGTTCTGATTCTATCCCTGCAAATTAACAACAAGAAATCCTTAAAAACTCAGCAGATGTTTATAACCTTATGTTAGAATCCAGCTGTAAGCCCTTGTCTTGGAATAAGCCCACCTACAAGAAGTTTATTCCTTACTATTTTGTGTTGACAATCTCGTTTCATTGTCTTTAAACAAGGAAAGCACTACCTTTTACACATTGTAATGACCCTTACTGTATTCTGTTTTTTTACACCTTAACATTAACATATAATTGTTTAAGTTGGACAAACATAGTGACCATGAAAGTTGCAAAATATCTTGTAGTTTTTATAAATTTAAAATAAATTAAATATTTAAAGTTATCTCCCTTGGGATAATTTTTTTTTTCACATTTTATATTCGATAAGTGTAGAGAAGAACTTTTGTATATTATAAACAAGAGGCCCAGAGGGCCTGTATCACTCACCTGGATCTTTATGACAACTGTACAATATCTGTGCATATGTTCTACAGTAGATGCTTAAAGCAATATGACAAATTACTCCATATGGGTTCTTTCCCTTAGTAGTCCAAAATAAGTCATATGTATATAAGCCTTTAATGACCAAATATGATCGGTTTTTGGTTAATCAGAAGAAGTTGATTAACTATTTTACCAAACCCCAATGACCTTAAATATGGGTCAAGCTGTTTTTTCACACACTATGTGGGCACCATTAAGGGAACCTTTTGGACAAATATTATGATCCTAAGCATTTAGCTTAATCAGAAGTTGTTCAAAGGTTTAACACATTTGACTGTTGTGACCTTGAATATGGGTCAAGGTCATTTCTGTTCTCAGATATTACCGGGCATCATTGAGAACCTATTTTGGAATAATATCACTATCCCAGATTTTTTGGATCATCAGAAAATTTAAAGGTTTAACACATTTGACGCCTGTGACCTTGACTATGGGGCGAGGTCATTTCCTTTTTGCAAACTTTCCTGGACTTCATAAAAGGAACATACTGGCCAAATATAATCATTCTAGGTTTTTCTATATTTCATAAGAAATTGTTTAAACATTTTAACACATTTGACACCTGTGACCTTGAAGATTGGTCAGGGTAATTCTTTAAGCAAACTTTGTAGGACACCATAAAAGGAACATAGTAGCATAATATAATGATTCTAGGCCTTCCGGTATTTTGGAAAAAGTCGTTTAAATGTTTTAACTCATTTGACCTCTGTGACCTTGAATATGGGTCAAGGTCATTTCTTTTTGCAGAATTTGTTGGGCTTCATCAAAGGAACCTTCCAGCCAAATATAATGATTCTAGGCCTTCCGATATTTTGGAAGAAGTCGTTTAAAGGTTTACACACATTTGACCTCTGTGATCTTGAATATGGGTCAAGGTCATTTCTTTATGCACACTTTGTTGGACTTCATCAGAGGAACCTTCCAGCCAAATATGATAACTCTACGCCTTTTGGTATTTCAGAAGAAGTTGTTTATATGAAAAGTTGACGGACGACGGACGCCGCGCTATGGCATAAGCTCACTTGGTCCTTTGGGCCAGGTGAGCTAAAAATGTTATAAAAACAAATAAGACCAAATTATCAATCATAAAAAGTAAATTTCCTGGAACTCTTGTGTGAAACAGACACTTCTATCAGTTACAAAATATGTCTCCTTAACTCCTATTATTAATGTGCGTCTGTTGGTACTTACAGAAACCAGTCTACTGCCAGGATGAGAGAAATATCATCAGTAGGCAGACCAACGGATGTTAGTACCATAAGCATGGTAACTAGACCAGCACTTGGTATACTGGCTGCCCCTATACTGGCACAGGTCGCTGTCAGACTGAAAACATCACACATATGGTAATAAACACTTTACAATGACCAACCGTTAAGAGTGATGGAAAGTTCAGCATTTGATTTGATAATTCTATGATAGGCAATCAAGATGAGTTCATAGGATATACTTCGAAAGAATTAAACTCTTCAATTTTTTTAGAGTGAACATTACAAAATCACTATGATGGTGTTTCCCAGTAAGTTGAGAAAAAAAAGTAAATTCATAAAAAAAAAGGAAAATTAATTGAAGAAAAACAAAAATGAATTTAAAACAAAATAATTGTCCAAAAATACCAGAAATCAAAATTGTAATATTTAAGGACTAACAAGCCATTCATGGGCTGTATAATTCGCCTGAAATAAAGCAGGAATATATAATCTGGAAAATCTGGCTACTTAAACAGGTCATATTTTTCTAACATCGTTAACTCATAATGTTCCACCATTTCCGAATTGTTAGATCAATTTTTCATAAAGCAGGTTTTGAATAGAAAATAGTAATATTGACAAATCCACAATAAATATCTGATGTATGATGAAAACCTTCAGACAAAGTTTTACATAACATTACAATTTAAAGATGGATTTAAAAACATTTACATTTCAGAATAACAGACATTAATATCTTACCTGATGGTCACAATTTGGCCGATGCCAAGCTCAATACCATTCATCTGAGCAATAAAAATTGGAGCAACAGCTTCATACAGGGCTGTACCATCCATATTGATTGTAGCACCAATGGGCAACACAAAGCGGGTTACACGTTTGTCAATACCCATATTCTCCTCTAGACAACGGAACGTGACGGGCAGAGTGGCAGAGCTGAACAGACAGACAAGGGAGGTAAAAACATCACAAGATCAAACTCTATCATAGTCGAATGGGAAACTTTATAATCAAATGCACATACGTTCATATGGCTAAATTATTTATTAATAGGGAATGGAAATTATTTCAATAGTATTATTATATAATATTATCTATAATTTTGACATTAGAAATGAACAATTACAGCGTGTATACATCAAACCACCATTTTTGTATTTTATGGCTTCTAACAGCATGTTTCATTGCCCTGATGGACCATGAGTGGACAAAATTGGTCTACATAATGAAAGGATTTCTTTTGTTTAGACTCATCCGAGTTTGGCGTATGTTGTGAAAACTCTCTACCTGGTTATATCTCTGAAGTTGATACTGAAGTTGATAGTGAAGCTGTTACAACAACATTATGTATCATTTAGGAAGATATAGCTCTAAAAACACTTACACGCATACCACAATTTCAATCATATAATTTTAGTCACAAATTGATCTTTGTTTATTGAGTTAAATTTGAGTTTTTTTTTACAAGTAAAACCAATTTTCATGATTTAATACTTGCCGGAATTTAGTATGCAAATACATTAACTGCATTCTTCTTTGAAGCCAAAAACAAAACATTGAAAAATTCCCCCTTCCCCATTAATTGTTGTATCATGAAAATTGGTTATTCTTAAAAAAATCTTGAAAAAATGTAATAATTACCATAACTATGCGCATTTACCTTACCATGGTGGAGACTTCAAGGACAGGCAGCCCATCTGAGCACAACACAACCCAGAGACTACTCCAGGTATGGAGGAAAGGTTAAAGGAACCACCCAAAAAAGCGCCAGATAAAATTGGAAAGTAACTCCCTATGAAAGAGTCTAAACATAAAAGAGATACAGCCTTGGACTGAGCCACCACTAGAGGTCCAAGAGAGTACAGACCCTCAGAATGAGAAGCCAAGGACCTCAGATAGAATCTGTGAAAATATTCCCCTCGCGTCAAAATGCTGAGGACTTGACCTCCTTAAAGGAAGACCCATTGAGAAGGGCCCAAGATGCAGCAAGGGCTCTAACATCAAGATCCTGTACCTGCAATCTCACAAGAGCCTGATCATCTGAATGTTCGTATGAATACTTGATAACCTGGCAAACCCACCTTGAAACTGACTGGGAAGACATATCCTGATGACCCTATCTGTTGGGCAAAAACAGACGGGAACAAGATCCCCTGCCCAGTCCAGTCCAGATAGAGTATCCATGGCCCAAACCTTTGGATCTGGAGCCAAAGAAAGTAGGCAGCTAAGCATGTTCTCCTGAAAGGTCCATCACATGGAGCTAACTCCTTGACCGACTGGTTGAGATGAAGCCATGCTTTTCAATCCCTGGAAGCAGGGACCCTATTGGCCAGGAGAGGTCTAATGTGAAGTCTCCCTAAGGCTACGGCATCTTCAAGGCAGTGGAGCTAACCCAGGAAACTGAGAAACCAATACACCTGAATGCACTACCAAGTGAGGAAGGTCAGAGCAATAGACCTGGTCTTCTCAAACCTCTCAAAAGGTGGAAGGGCTATTCCCTGAACCATGTTGAAATGATTCCAAAGGAAAAGGAAGTCCCTTATGAGGTGAAGCATGAGGGAATCGTCAAAATAGATAAGAACATCTATTCCGCAAGAGTGAAGGAATCCCATGACCACCTGCAACAGCTTGGTGAAAACCAAAAGTGCTGTGCTGAGCCCTTATGACATGGCCAAGAACTGAAAGATCTTTCCATCGCAAGTAAAACGGAACTTCCATTATTTCCACTACTTCTTGATGGGATGCGGAAATAGGCATCCTTCAGATCTACCGAAGTTGCCCACATTCCGTCCCTCATAGAGGCAATGATGCCCCAAGGAGTCTCCATCTTAAAGTGAGAAGAGTCTACATGCCTGTTAAAGGCACCTAGATCTATGATCTCCCAAACCAGAAACATTCTGGAGTAGAGGCCACAGGAAACACCTTGACAGTGCCTTTTGCATGGTCCCTACTTTCTCCTGGAGCACCTGAGCCTTTTTCTGGATCCCCCAGAGGAGGAAAGATATGCTGAGACGCTATGGGCGGATCCTGAAAAAGTTGAATTCCTAGGCCCTCCTGATCACAGACAATGCCCGAGTGTCTTCCATGATTTCCACCCATTCTGGAAGGTACGCAAAGAGATGCCCCCTCACAGGAAGATCCGGATGAGGTAGATCGAGACCCTGCCATACAGGAGAATTGTCTAAACATAAGTAGCCAGATGCGGCAAGAGAAGGACATGAGTTTGAGGCGAGACAACCGCTGTCCCCCAGGACAAGCATGCATCTGAAGTGGCCAAGGAGATGGAGGAGTCAGGAACCCTACTTCTTGCCTCCAGAACGGTTCTTAACTTTTTACCTTTCCCTTTCTTGCCCTTGAAGCGAGGCATCAACATTGGCAGTGCAGTAGACTGGGTAGCTGAAGGTTTAGTCTTCTTTTTAACACCTGCAAGGTACTGCCCTTGTCCACCTGAAACCTCTTCACCAAAAGTGCTGAGGCAACTGAGTCCTCGTTCATATCCTTCTGTACAGAAGGAAGAACCTCTTTTAAAAGCCTAAGGCCCGAGAAGGGGGCTGTCACCAGTTGGAAAATGTAATTCTCTTTGACTGGGTGAACTTTCAAAACTGGAACGTTTGTCTAGTCAACACAACATTGATAAGATCGCTCTGATTGAATGGCTGCCCGCAAAACCAGGAAACATCAGTCCTAAGGGCCTCATCCTGGACAAAACATGCTGAGCCTCAACCTCAGAATTCGGAAAGATTGGGACCTATTTCCGAGCATCCAGGACAGAGATCAATGATATCATCCTCCTCTGCCATACCAGTGTCCTCACAATCCATATTCTCCACCTGGTCGGGACCAATAGTCCCAGAAAAAGGAAAAGGGCCAGTAAGAGGGGCCAGCAAAGTTCATACAAAGTAGACTCACTGCAAGGACAAAAGAGGGGACAAGCGTCATGAGAGTTCCGCTCTCCAAAGAAATGGGAACACCCATGGGACATACCCTGTCACTTACAAACAACAAGTTGTAGAGAATATAAATAAGTATGGAAAGATTTAAAAAAAAAATAAGTGAAAACTTCAAGGCAAGTACAGAAACAAAGAAAAACAATGAGTACAAAGGAGTGAGTCCAACATGGTAGTTCTCTAAGAGACAGTAAAAACGTAATGGCAGACCATGAGGCACACCACTCGGAGATATGGAGGAAGTGAATCGCTAAAAACAAATTAGCAAGCCAAATAAATATTCAGGGCAGATAGACATAAACAATGCAAACTGAGCAAACGAAGCAAGCCTCAGAAGTGAATTAAGTGACTGAAAGGCAAGAAAATGATAAAACTGAGTGGCTGAAAGGCAAGAAAATGATAGAACTGAGAGGCTGAAAGGCAAGAAAATGATAGAACTGAGAGGCTGAAAGGCAAGAAAATGATAGAACTGAGTGGCTGATAGGCAAGAAAATGATAAAACTGAGTGGCTGAAAGGCATGAAAATGATAGAACTGAGAGGCTGAAAGGCAAGAAAATGATAGAACTGAGAGGCTGAAAGGCAAGAAAATGATAGAACTGAGTGGCTGATAGGCAAGAAAATGATAAAACTGAGTGGCTGAAAGGCAAGAAAATGATAGAACTGAGAGGCTGAAAGGCAAGAAAATGATAGAACTGAATGGCTGAAAGGCAAGAAAATGATAGAACTGAGTGGCTGATAGGCAAGAAAATGATAAAACTGAGTGGCTGAAAGGCAAGAAAATGATAGAACTGAGAGGCTGAAAGGCAAGAAAATGATAGAACTGAGTGACTGAAAGGCAAGAAAATGATAGAACTGAGAGGCTGAAAGGCAAGAAAATGATAGAACTCTGTCAACTATTAAAAGTTAGTGCTAGACATAAGGTAGATGTTTCATTACAATGTATCTGCCTGTGTTAATTTAGTAATGACATCTACTGTGAACAATTATGTAATGACCAGTGACCAGAGGTATTCTGTCGTTACTGATCTACTACACATGTTCATGTATTAGTTCATTCCCTGATTATATAAGTCATTACCTGAAGCTTATCTAAGCAGTTTGTATGATGGTCAGTGTATCTTTATCTTGTTGTAAAGAGCCAAATCTATTGCCATTTATGTGTGCAAGACCTTGTTGACAACTCATGTATACTTCAATCCATGTTTACCTGTTAGCTAATGTGTATTAGTACTTCATCAGTTAATTAACATGGCATGTATAAATTCAAGCACCTTTCTAGCCAGTATGTATTGGTTCCTCATGGCCAGACAGGAGAGAGGCTAGTCTCCATTGGCGGGACCCAGCTCGCTCAGGCTTTTGCCCAAGCAAGAACTTCTCAAATCTAGTATCAACTTATGAAATTGTAACAAGGTTTTCATTTTATCTGAAACACATCAGTCATCAGAGGCATCATAAAGGAAAGAGGAAGGGATATCACTATATATCTCTGTCATAATGGCTCATGGGACTGTAGGGAGAGCAGAATTTTTTAATCTTTTGTTTTTGGGCTGCAAAGATGGGTGTAGGTACTGTATTTGCACACTGAAGTTATGGTAATTATTACTGAAATGAAAACTAGTATTTATGAAATTGGTGCCAAACTGCTACATAAAAGCATGTTTGTATCCAATAGTTTTGAATTCATGTCTATTTTGTGGTGAAGACAATTAGTTAGATATTGTTAATTGATCTATGCTTGCTGACAGACCTGGATGCGGTACCCAGAGCTGTGACCCAAGCCTGTAAAACAGCCTTGAATAAGTTAAGTGGGTTCTTCCTGGTCACGGCGAAGTACAGAAGAGGCAGTGAGATGACAGCATGGATAAACAGACCAGTCAGCACAGTCACCATGTACATGCCCAGTCTGGCCCCGACTGCCCCCGGGTCATCAATATACAGGATTTTACCAGTGATGAGGAACATGATACCAACCGGAGAGTACCTGCAAACAAAGAATTCCACATAAAGCACTTTTCATAAAGAGTATTTAGAAATGGCTTATCAACTTCCAAAATATACAAAGTACTTCGAAAAAAACATTTGTTTTTTATACAGTTGCAAAAGCATTACATATACCTTAAAAATAAAACAAATGAAATTCATATTGAGCACAGAAACAACAATGCATATAAAGTACTTTAAAGCCCAAAACTTTCATGTAGAATACAGTTGTATATGAAATCATTGAGTAAAACTCTGGAAAAAGTTACATAATGGGAGGTAACTAACTGAACTACATTCTTCCTCTCAGGTCCGTTAAGAAACCACTGTATAAAACACATTTTCCTGCCATGAATAGCATCTTTATCATAAATGCTAAACCTTAGTCACTTTAAAAGATAAAGTCTAACAAAGGAAATCTGTGTCTATGATAAAAATATACAATGTAACTTGTATTATAGAATTTTAAAAGGAGTGGGCTGGTAATAATACTGCTTGAATGTGTTAAGTTAAACATGTTAAATACAATCTCTTCTACTCCAAAAAGTCTATACAGATTAGCATGCCTTTTTAGCCCATTTGTTAAAGCTGTACAGTATCATGAAAGTTGGACTTCTGTCAGTGTACTTGGCTAGAATATATTAAGCCTGTTTTTTCTCATGTACATTAAGAAATTTTAATTATGAGAATTTTGTTTGAGATTTACGAAATATGAAGATGTGTGAGTAAAGTGGCAGGGTTGGACAGTAGCTTATACATACTGTTAAATTTGATCTCTGTCTCTCAGCTGAAAGAACATGCATCGATTATAAAGACAAAGCTGTAGAATATCATGTCAAAACAAATAACAGCTTTTTGTTTTCCCTACTTTAACAGTTTAACACTAAATCCCCTTCTACTTTCTCCTCCAGAACATGATTACCTTCGAGATTTAACTAAAAAAATCGTTTGCAGCTCTATTGTAAAATGAAGGTAGGGGAGATAACTTACCACATGACTAGTACAACCATCTGCATGATAATGTCGTTTAAGATAAGGAAGAAATCCACCATTAAATTGGCACGCTTGCCCATCTTGCTCAGCATCATACCAAACGCAGTGCAGAAAGTTATAATGCCTGAAAATACAGAGTATACCCATATCTAATATGTGTATGGTCTACGTCAATGGACGTAGTTTTTTAAGAAAACTAAATTCAAGACCTTAACACTTTTGGCACTAAATTAAAAAATACCAACTTTTAAATACAATGCAAACAGAATTATTGTTTTCATGATTTTATTTTCTACTTTTTTCATATTATTCTGTACATTATACATGTTATTTTAGATAATTTTTTCTCTTAGATATCACATGCACATCCTTTGTAATCTTTATTTTTTTTTAATCAAATATTCAATGTGAGAATAAAAACATTTCTCAAAAAACAATTCTGAAAAACAACACACTCTCCAATAACTTAAGTTATACATAATTTTATATTTCAATTCAAATCATCTAAAAAACAATGAACAGTTATACTAATGAAATAAGATATATTTAGATGACCTTTAACTTAAAATGACCTTGACCTACTCACCTAGAACGTTGATGCCATCATTGAAGGGTAGCTGCCTTTCTACAACAACCTTGGACATTTTCACTTTTACTTCAGTATATTCAGACATGTTTTTGTTGGTGATATTTACAATTGCTGCATTAAGAGACATAGCCAAACTTTTGTTGACATGCTCCTTTGAAATGTTGAGTTGAACAAGATCTGCTGTTCGTACGAGCAAAGACTGATTCACATTTTTGGTCACATCAATGTATTTTGTACGAGTGTGAGCAAAGCTGGCCTGAATCAAATTGGTAGGGAAAACATTTCTGCAAATGAAAAATAGAAATATATGATACATGTATAGAAAGTAACACATTCTGAATTCAAATGATATCATTCTTTACCATGCAATTTGTTTTTTGTTTATATATATATATCATTCCCTCAAACTAATGAAGTGCATGAAATCTTTTGTACGTAAAAGAAATCTCTACATGTTTAATCACTTTGATAGAGTTATAGGTGATGGCTAAGACTGAGGTCACCCTGTCACCATTCTCTATTAGTTTTAATGGTTGATTAGTCATTATTTGGCATCAAAAAACAAATCAATCATCTCTATGGCAGGACTAGAAGTCAATATCTATCAGTATGCCTTGTGGTAAGGTTAAAGGAAACTAACTTTTATAATGTGGCTAGGTTAAAGGCCAATCATCACTATGTGGTAAGATTAAAGGTCAATCAACACTATATCAGTTATCGCATTGTGGTTATGATCAAGGTCAATCAAAACTATGTGGTAAAATTATAGGTAAATCATCACTCTGTAGTAAGGTTATAGGTACATCATCACTCTGTGGTTAAGTTTTAGGTAAACCATCACTCTGTGGTCAGGTTATAGGTAAACCATCACTCTGTGGTCAGGTTATAGGTAAATCCTCACTCTGTGGTTAGGTTATAGGTATATCATCACTCTGTGGTAAGGTTATAGGTAAATCATCACTCTGTGGTTAGGTTATAGGTAAATCATCACTCTGTGGTAAGGTTATAGGTAAATCATCACTCTGTGGTTAGGTTATAGGTAAATCATCACTCTGTGATTAGGTTATAGGTATATCATCACTCTGTGGTTAGGTTATAGGTATATCATCACTCTGTGGTAAGGTTATAGGTAAATCATCACTCTGTGGTTAGGTTATAGGTATATCATCACTCTGTGGTAAGGTTATAGGTAAAGCATCATTCTGTGGTAAATTTATAGGTAAATCATCACTATGTGGTAAGGTTATAGGGAAATCATCACTCTGTGGTTAGGTTATAGGTAAAGCATCACTCTGTGGTTAGGTTATAGGTAAATCATCACTCTGTGGTAAGGTTATAGGTAAATCATCACTCTATGTTTAGGTTATAGGTAAACCATCACTCTGTGGTAAGGTTATAGGTAAATCATCACTGTGTGGTAAGGTTATAGGTAAATCATAACTCTGTGGTCAGGTTATAGGTAAATCCTCACTCTGTGGTTAGGTTATAGGTATATCATCACTCTGTGGTAAGGTTATAGGTAAATCATCACTCTGTGGTAAGGTTATAGGGAAATCATCACTCTGTGATTAGGTTATAGGTATATCATCACTCTGTGGTTAGGTTATAGGTAAATCATCACTCTGTGGTAAGGTTATAGGTAAAGCATCACTCTGTGGTAAGGTTATAGGTAAAGCATCATTCTATGGTAAATTTATAGGTAAATCATCACTATGTGGTAAGGTTATAGGTAAATCATCACTCTGTGGTAAGGTTATAGGTAAATCATCACTCTGTGGTTAGGTTATAGGTAAATCATCACTCTGTGGTAAAGTTATAGGTAAATCATCACTCTGTGGTTAGGTTATAGGTAAATCATCACTCTGTGGCTAGGTTATAGGTAAATTATCACTCTGTGGCTAGGTTATAGGTAAATCATCACTCTGTGGTTAGGTTATAGGTAAATCATCACTCTGTGGTGGTAAGGTTATAGGTAAATCATCACTCTGTGGTGGTAAGGTTATAGGTAAATCATCACTCAGTGGTGGTAAGGTTATAGGTAAATCATCACTCTGTGGTGGTAAGGTCATAGGAAAACCATCACTCTGTGGTAAGGTTATAGGTAATTGCTCACTCTGTGGTTAGATTATAGGTAAATCATCACTCTTTGGTGGTAACGTTATCGGTAAACCATCACTCTGTGGTAAGGTTATAGGTAAAACATCACTCTGTGGTTAGGTTATAGGTAAACCATCACTCTGTGGTTAGGTTATAGGTAAATCATCACTCTGTGGTAAGATTATAGTTAAATCATCACTCTGTGGTGGTAACGTTATCGGTAAACCATCACTCTGTGGTAAGGTTATAGGTAAATCATCACTCTATGTTTAGGTTATAGGTAAACCATCACTCTGTGGTAAGGTTATAGGTAAATCATCACTGTGTGGTAAGGTTATAGGTAAATCATAACTCTGTGGTCAGGTTATAGGTAAATCCTCACTCTGTGGTTAGGTTATAGGTATATCATCACTCTGTGGTTAGGTTATAGGTAAATCATCACTCTGTGGTAAGGTTATAGGTAAATCATCACTCTGTGGTTAATAGGTTATATAGGTATATCATCACTCTGTGGTTAGGTTATAGGTAAATCATCACTCTGTGGTAAGGTTATAGGTACATCATCACTCTGTGGTAAGGTTATAGGTAAAGCATCATTCTGTGGTAAATTTATAGGTAAATCATCACTATGTGGTAAGGTTATAGGTAAATCATCACTCTGTGGTAAGGTTATAGGTAAAGCATCACTCTGTGGTTAGGTTATAGGTAAATCATCACTCTGTGGCTAGGTTATAGGTAAATCATCACTCTGTGGCTAGGTTATAGGTATATCATCACTCTGTGGTAAGGTTATAGGTAAATTATCACTCTGTGGCTAGGTTATAGGTAAATCATCACTCTGTGGTTAGGTTATAGGTAAATCATCACTCTGTGGTGGTAAGGTTATAGGTAAACCATCACTCTGTGGTAAGGTTATAGGTAATTGCTCACTCTGTGGTTAGGTTATAGGTAAATCATCACTTTGTGGTGGTAACGTTATCGGTAAACCATCACTCTGTGGTAAGGTTATAGGTAAATCATCACTCTATGGTTAAGTTATAGGTAAACCATTACTCTGTGGTAAGGTTATAGGTAAATCATCACTCTGTGGTCAGGGTTTAGGTAAATCATCACTCTGTGGTAAGGTTATAGGTAAATCCTCACTCTGTGGTCAGGGGTTAGGTAAATCATCACTCTGTGGTAAGGTTATATGTAAATCATCACTCTGTGGTTAGGTCATAGGTAAATCATCACTCTGTGGTAAGGTTATAGGTAAAGCATCACTCTGTGGTTAGGTTATAGGTAAATTATCATTCTGTGGTAAGGTTATAGGTAAATCATCACTCTGTGGTAAGGTTATAGGTAAATCATCACTCTGTGGTAAGGTTATAGGTAAATCATCACTCTGTGGTAAGGTTATAGGTAAATCATCACTCTGTGGTAAGGTTATAGCTAAAGCATCACTCTGTGGTAAGGTTATTGGTAAACCATCACTCTGTGGTAAAGTTATAGGTAAATCATCACTCTGTGGTAAGGTTATAGGTAAATCATCACTCTGTGGTGGTAAGGTTATAGGTAAATCATCACTCTGTGGTGGTAAGGTTATAGGTAAATCATCACTCTGTGGTGGTAAGGTTATAGGTAAATCATCACTCTGTGGTGGTAAGGTTATAGGAAAACCATCACTCTGTGGTAAGGTTATAGGTAATTGCTCACTCTGTGGTTAGATTATAGGTAAATCATCACTCTTTGGTGGTAACGTTATCGGTAAACCATCACTCTGTGGTAAGGTTATAGGTAAAACATCACTCTGTGGTTAGGTTATAGGTAAACCATCACTCTGTGGTTAGGTTATAGGTAAATCATCACTGTGTGGTAAGATTATAGTTAAATCATCACTCTGTGGTCAGGATATAGGTAAATCATCACTGTGTGGTCAGGATATAGGTAAATCATCACTCTGTGGTCAGGGTATAGGTAAATCATCACTCTGTGGTAAGGTTATAGGTAAATCATCACTGTGTGGTAAATTTATAGGTAAATCATCACTCTGTGGTAAGGTTATAGGTAAATCATCACTGTGTGGTCAGGATATAGGTAAATCATCACTCTGTGGTCAGGGTATGGGTAAATCATCACTCTGTGGTAAGGTTATAGGTAAATCATCACTCTGTGGTAAGGTTATAGGTAAATCATCACTCTGTGGTAAGATTATAGGTAAATCATCACTCTGTGGTAAGGTTATAGGTAAATCATCACTCTGTGGTTAGGTTATAGGTAAATCATCACTCTGTGGTAAGGTTATAGGAAAACCATCACTCTGTGGTAAGGTTATAGGCAATTGCTCACTCTGTGGTTAGATTATAGGTAAATCATCACTCTGTGGTTAGGTTATAGGTAAATCATCTCTCTGTGGTAAGGTTATAGGGAAAGCATCACTCTGTGGTAAGGTTATAGGTAAATCATCACTCTGTGGTTAGGTTATAGGTAAACCATCACTCTGTGGTAAGGTTATAGGTAAATCATCACTCTGTGATAAGGTTATAGGTAAATTATCACTCTGTGGCTATGTTATAGGTAAATCATCACTCTGTGGCTAGGTTATAGGTAAATCATCACTCTGTGGCTAGGTTATAGGTAAATCATCACTATGTTGTTAGGTTGAAGGTCAATCATCACTATGTAATAAGGTTAAGATCAGTCAATCATCTTTTATCAACAATTTGTGGTAAGGTTAAAGGTCAGTCTTCAGTTACTCAGTGGTAAGGTTAAAAATCAATCAATTATCAATATGTAGTAAAGTTAAATGTCAATCAATCATTACACTGTTATAAAGTTAAAGGTCGATCAATATCACTTTGTGTTAAGGTTAATGGTCAATCAATACCACTTTGTGTTAAGGTTAATGGTCGATCAATATCACTTTGTGTTAAGGTTAATGGTCGATCAATATCACTTTGTGTTAAGGTTAAAAGTCATCATTTTTCGTCACATTATAGGTCAGTCTACAGTCACTCAGTGGTTAGGTTAAAGATCAACCAATCATCACGCTGTAGAAGAGTAAAAGTCAAAGTATTTGTCATTCATTCATTGCTGTTGTTAAGTTAAAGGTCATAACATCAATAATACATAAAAGACATAACCTTAGATTGTTATGTCGACATTTGATATATATCTGACAATTGTTAAAGTTTAAAAGCTTTTAACAATAAAGTGAAAGTTTTAACCCAAAGCCTCATAATCTGAACAACTTCATTGCTAAACAAATCTAATATACTTGACAAGAAAATCTCACCTGATCAAGTCTAGGAAAGCATCAAGAGAGCTAACTCTATCATCACCCTTAGAGGGTCCCCCTTCATCTGGAGGCATGAGGTTCTTGTCACCTGGGTGGATGGACACAACCAAGATGATTCCTAGGATGATGGCGATGAAGGTTGTACCAAAGTAATAAACAATGGCACGCAGACCCATACGACCACTCGATTTGGCGTCAATTGATGCTAATCCTGTAAAGAGAATCAACAGTGATCAAATATTAATGTACCAGTAGTTTTGAGTGATAAAAAGAAGGACTATAAAGGTGGAAGAAAGCTATGGGGTTTTAACTGCTGCCCTGATATGCAATCTAATAAACATGGTATTCATCAAACTCACGACCATTCAGACATGGATCTGAAGTAATCAACAATATCTTTTACAAGGAACTTTATTCCAGCATGTTTCAATGTTCGCTCTGTACAGCAGTGTTATAGTTAATAATGTATAGAGCTGTTAAGGTTTTGTCATTCTATGGCTACCTGGGTCAGTTTGTGTTTCGCAAGAAGCCAAGTTCAAGAACAATCCTGTGCTATGATGGTAAAATCCATGGAATGGACATGACACTTAACTCCAGTTGCTTTGGATAGCCTGCAATGTCCCTCCCAGCTGATGTTCAGTGAGGGTAATATGTTTGCCTATGGGTTTATCACCTCATGGACAGTCAGGGTCATATTCAGGCAGAATCTCTCTATAGTAATGGCTATCTCACTAAATTGAGGTAAAGTCTGTAACTCATCAATGACAGCACTGGAAAATTCATGATCTCAATTTCATGAGAAATATAAATTGCCTTAAGAAAAGGATACCACACACTTTTCATCTTCACCTTAGACTGTATGAGTGTGCAGTGCTCAACCAACTATGCTTTGATGGACCCAGAAAAGATTGCATGTAAAGGACTATGACAACAACAGGATCAGTGTCTTAGTAATGCTTTGTGGGTAAAGTGAAAACATTATATAAAACAAACATTCAGTTGACACCTTCTTATTTATACCACTACATACCTGTTATCATGCATGATACGATGAGAGGAAGAATCAACATTTTCAGCATCCGCATCAAGATGTCTCCAGGGAATGCAATTAACATCTTTGCTTGATCAGAAGGTTCTACAACTCTAAGGGCGAAGCCAAGGATGAGACCCATAACAACACCAGCAATTGTAAGGATAAGTAGTAGGTTGTCCTTCCCCCATGATCCTGCCTGATGTAGAAAGCATGAAACCATTAACACTCAAACATGAATAACAGAAACAAACAATTTGAGACATAGCAATACTAGGTAATCATGCTTACAATGGAATTCTTCAAGGTTTCTGAGGTGTTAGTCACTGTGTAAATACTTCAAAATAAAAATCACATATATATTGTGTAAGGTAAAACAATATCTTTTATCCAATTAATTGTCACACATATGAAGAAACATACAACCTTACTTCTAACATAAATCACAGGTATTGTGTAAGGCAGCATACATCCTTAACTCTATCAAATCACAAACATTCTGTGTGAGGTATCATAGATGTAAGCTAAGGTTAATTCCTTAGAGAACACTAAATACCACACCTCCTTGGGTGCCTAATGGACCCAACACCATATAACTATCAGTCTTTACTTTCTGGTATTAAAGAAGAAGATTTTAAGATCTTGTAACTTAATAGTGTCCCCCATGTGACCATCATTCAAAATTATTTTTGACTTCTACCTAATAATATTAAATGATAAAAGAACTTGTGGACAAAACATACCAAAAAAATGTCATACACTTATCCCCTCTTGACCTTAAGACAGAATCCTTCAACAAAGCCTTCCTCACGGGGATGAACACTCAAATTAAAAGGCCAAAAGTGAGAAAGTGCCATGGGAAAGCATCAGGTTATGGGTAAAAATGATGTATAAAAACAAGAAATGGTTAGAGCCCAAGTTAAGTATTCTCCTATAATCATGCAATGCAGAAGTAGGTACAATTTTTACACCCTGCAGCTCAACTGGGTGTATGGACTGTAGCATAAAGACTAAGAATTCCAGTGGCATTGTTACAAATATTTAACATTTTTATGTAGCACACATAACCCTTGTTTCAAAGACAATATTTTGTATCTCAAGAACATTTCAGATAGGTAATCTTTAAAGATATAAAAATCCATCGTGTCAGATTGAAAGTACAGAGGAAATTAGAATACATATGTACATCTAACATCAGTCATACAATCTGTGTTCATTTAGATCATACAAATGTAAGTGTACATACAAATGTAAGTGTGTGTATATGTCACCTGATTACACTTTCATGTCTTACATATTATTTGATGTCACTATTTTATGATAACAAAGTGATTTTTTTTTTATTTAACATGTAAACTAATCTGTTTATGATATGTATAAAAATTTATTGTATATGTGCATGAGTTCTGGGTGGCAATACATCACTCGATGACTCTTACAGAAAGAATGTGTCTGAATTGGCTTCTGAAGTGTTTTAATTGTGTTAAATTATATAAAAGTGTGAGAAATAGTGTAAAACCTATTCCTTATCAGCCACCAGTATCACTCTGAGTCTGACATTTCCTTAACCATTCAAAAATCATTTTTAATACAAGAACATAAATCCCGATGTCAATTTCAACAATCTTTAAAGTGCTTATTTACAAAAGACACAGGTACATTAACACATATCAACTTAATTTAGAATTAGATAAAGTAAAACCAGACTAGCTGATTAGCTCATTTAGATACATTGCAGAAAATCCTGTTACCTGTGTTTACTCTTCTAGTACATTTAGAAAGATCTGAAAATAAGCAAAGAAATGTTAGCTCTCTCCCACTGTAGGCATTTATCATTATTAAGATTTCAACACACTTCCTCCATGACTCTGATAAATCGCCTTTTTTAGTAAGATTACAACTATAAAGTACAGATCCCATGACACACATATTGGAAGGTTTCTAATTTTATATGCTAGTTTGGAATCCATAGAGATCCAAGTGATTTATCAAGGAAACACCTATTGCACTAGAGAAGCACTATCCCTGTGGGAAATCTAACAAACGTGACAAATGCTACACCAAACAAACTACATTTACTAAAGTGAAACTGACAACCGAAATGAATTTGCAGTATTTTGTGAACTCCAGCGCGTTTGTGAGCCACTAAGTCACACTTTCCATAGGAAATCCATGGATTACAAGGGAGTAATGATTGTCCTACATTCGTCAGGAAACAAATCTAATTTGCCAAATGACTTTTCAGTGTTTTTTACCTACTGATATTCTTTACTATTTCTTTGACAACTTAAATGTTAAAATGGTAAAAACAAGAAAATCATCTTTAGCTTCTTCAATATTTCATAACGCATATTTCGTCTTTATGATTTTATTATTCAAGGACAGAAGCTGATTTCGCCACTATGGAAAATTATGAAAATAAAAAGTCTGTATTGGTGACAGAACTTTCTAGCTATTAAATAAACCAAATCCAAAATGTCAAAATTTAAAAATAAAATTGCTTTACTTAAAAGTACATAGATTATTAGCTGCACTTTACCATCTCTTTTGTGTATTTATAATGTGTGAACTTACAAAAACCAAGCATGCACTGATTACACCAAATAATGGGATACATAATGCTATTACACTCACTCACCTACGTATATATTTTAATCAATTGTCACCTATAACATTTCCAATTTTAATTAAAGTATGTTCTCTATTACAGAAATTAGACACCCGCAGTAATTAGAAAGCAAAGTTCTAACAGGACATATCTATATTTACATACATAACTGATGTGGACAATCAGATCATAAAAGATTTCATTTTCTCTGAAATCAAAAAAAAATAAGGAGACCATAAAGTACTGCTCATATTTTCAGGCTACTCTTCAGGACTTTTCAGGTCAGCATCTGATACTGAACTGAAATGTCATAAAAAATCAAAGTCCATCAAAGTGATGGTAATTACATTTTATTCCACTGGAATGACATCAATAATTTTTATTTCTAACAAATTCAAAATGTTCCTGTGTTTTTCCCTTTTGTGTCCTTACAAAGATAATTACAGCATTCAAAAGTTACAGAAATATCATAATATGAACACAGTGGATGGATTCCTCCATGTCACAATTATTGTATCTATTTGTCCATGGGGCAAATACAATGACTCAAAGTCAGGGGGCGGGCTTATTGCTGGACAATATTTAGTTGGTAGTACCACTTAACAGTGATAGCTCTAGTGGGTGTACTTATTACCAGCCACATGCTTATCACAGAACATGATAAACATATAACACAGATTTTTAACTATAGTTGTCCAGAACAAAGAAAAACAATTATGATCACAAATGTTTCATGTAGATCATGCAAATTTTATGTCCGCTTGGATCTACATAAAAGAAAACTAAAAAATGCCAGATTATATAATGTTGTACAAAGATCTTCTCAATGCAATCACTGAAAAATGTATATTTAAGCCAATAATGTGGAGGCATTGTATTAATAGGACCTGCTTGAAAAGCAGAATCCATTCTATGTGTTTGACAAAGTGAAAATCATTTAAGCTGATTTCTTGGTTTGGGCAGAAAATTAAAATTATTACAAGCCCCTTGGTTTTTGTAATGAATTCTCCAGCTCTATTCTTCTAACTGATTTCCCCTTCATTTGAAACTTGGAACTGGCTAGATTTTAAGTTTTTTCTTTCTTCTTTTTAAGATTCTAGACACATGCCAGTCTAATTCTAGTCTTGTATTGATTGACCGCATGCTTTGCTTGACCGTATATATGTTAATTAGCACATATATGATAAAACCTTGAGCTACATTGATGTCTCCTTTTCACCAACTCACCTACCCCACTAATAAAATTCAATAAGAATTAATAACATTAAATATTGCTAACACTGATTGTTACAAAAATAGTCCCATGTGTACAGCCGTCGAGTCTGTTTATATAACTTAACATAAACAAACATGAAGAAGTGACATCTATGTGTCCAACTTCCTGTTCACAACCTCCCACATTCAAGTACACACACAAGCTTTCCCATACACTTAATACCACCCTGGCTGCCCACCCAAAAGGCCCAGTCCACAAAACATGTTCACAGGGATTTTTTCATATACAATTGTATATCTGCATAGAATGAAATGCAGACAACGTATCCACTTTTGAGATTCCTAAATACCAACATCTTTGATAGTACATGGCCCTATAACTCTATCATATTTCCCTTATTTTTATAGATATATTTAATTCCATGCCATAAATTTATGAATTTTTTTTACAATTTTGAAACTAGATTTTAATCACAGACTAACTACTGCTATCTATTCTCTTGTAACAAGAGGCACAAGGGGCTTAACAGGCTAACTTCTGCCCAGTAGGTTTATGAGGATACACATTGTAACGGTAGCAATGTTAGGCATTTTCCTTTTTATTTTATCATGTTTTATCTTAATACACTAAGGATGCTACCATCAAAATTTGGTTGAATTCCGATGAATGGTTTCAGAGGAGATGGTATTTTAGTATAAAAGATGAAAGATGTACAACATTTAAATGGGGCATCGCAAACAAAACTGGTTGTAGTGCTCCATAACAGTTAAGCTAAACAATTCTGTCAATTAATTTCTAAATATATCAGTTGTAATTAACCAGCCCATTTAGTCAACACATAGTTGACACTATTCAAGCCTGTGACTTTAATTAGTTTATTTTGATATATTTTACACAGTGCTGGTATCCTAGCTGTAACAACAGCATTGTAAAATTACTATTTACACTGGTATAGTAAAAACTTGTCTTAACATCTTTCATCAAAACTGCCTGAATATTATACAGAAGGGAGATAACTCCAATAAAAACTCAATCAAATGCACAATTTTAGATTATGGTTATTAAATACACGTGTATATGTGAAACTCGCAAAGAAACTGAAGGAGTTTGTTGTAATTCAAGATTAAGGTTAAGATGTTTTACAAAATTGGCATTGCTCCATATACAGTGTCAACCAAGTGCAGGGGCACAACTTCAGTATGATGATAAAACCAGTGGAGATTCATGAAATTTGAATAAAAACTACACAAGATTTTGTAGACAAGAAATGAATTCAGTGCACCCTCTTGATTTTATTGCAGTGCTAGAAGAGTCAAATCCTGTTAGATATATGGACAGAACCATGATTAAATGATACCTTCTTTCCCAGTAATTAGTCGACTAAGATCAGTTTTGGCAAATTTGAAACTCTTCCTGTTAATTGCATGCCATTTATTTTTAATGAAGTAAAGTTGAAAAAGTCAAAACTAATAAAAGACAATGAGGGCCACCATTAATTAAGGATAAACTGGGGTATTAACAAAACTATTTGTTGAACATCAAAGAACATACATGTATACTTTTTCACTAATTAAACTTATCCTTATGTATCATAAATTAATATCTAATCTGTCTTGAAGTTGGAAAATGTTCTGTATAAATATCTAGGAGGAAGAGAAAAAACAACTATATTATTCCTGTGATGATTACTTTTTCTGTTGAAATCACATTTCTGTTGGAATATCCTGGTAGTATTAAGTTTTGTATCCAAGAAAAACTTCCACGTAGTAGAAGATGGTGGTCACAATGTTGCATGATACTCGCAATATTCATAATATCCTGGTAGTACAACCTAATCCAGTTAATAGTCACATATTTGTTCTAATATCCAAACGCCAGTCTGTTCTCCTTGGTTGTGGTCTTTGGACAAGTATCCAGGGAGTAGTCCATATCTTTTTATATGTCCTTGCAGGATATACCTTTTTCAAATACACAGCATTCACATATTTGTTCAAATATCCAGGCAATAATCACATTTGTCCAAATATCTAGATAGTAGTCATATATTTAGATATCCAGATAGTAATCACATATTCGTTCAACTATTCCGGTAGTATATATCAAACATTTGCTCCATTATTTATTTAAATATCCAGGCAGTCATCACAAACTTGTTTAAATATCCAGTCTGAAGTAACATATTTGTTCAAATATCCTGGCAGTAGTCAAATATTAAGATCCAGGCAGTGGTCATATTTGTACAAATGATCTTGGTTCTGATAACATTTACTTTACAGATATTGTTTAAGTAATATTTGCCCCATGAAAAGTATCATTGTCTGTTGAGAATTGTAACAGAATTTTCTGTATTTATCTATTCACATTTTTTGCAATTCTTGATCCTTAACTGATTCACATTTTCATGTTGAAACATTCAAATGATTCTCCTTTTCTGTTGAAATACCCTGTTTCATTCATATTTTTGGCTGGATAAGTTCTGATAGTCATTTCTCAGTTGTAACAACTCTGACATATACTTTCTGTGTAATTACTGACCAATTTCTTAAAACCTTTCAGAAATCTTTACACAATTTGATTTTTTCCCCCTTTTTTTCCCTTTTTTCTTGTATTATCTATTTCAAAATTTTTAAACACATCCATGAATTTTTCAACAGTCATGATATCTCTGCCATTGCTTTTCTTTATTGACACATTAATTCTGGAGTCATTATTGCTCAAAAATCAAAATCAATTTCTCTGGGATTTATAATACTGGTTCATTTAAATAAGATGTTCTACACTTACATACAAGTCATAATTATATCTACTTCAGTCGCGAAGAAAATGTTTAAAGTAACCTGTTTACTGGCGATCTTGGTAAAGTCACTATGATAAAGCCCTATCTAATACATGGATATCTATACATTGATGAGTGGCTTTTCCCCAGCTAAATTGGATGTAATCTTATATACAGTAAATGTCTTGATATTTAGAGTACACTTTCCAAGGATATTTTCTCCTAATGACTCTTCTGGGAATATGATAGCTGGAGTTACTATGGCGATGGTGTGCTTTCTACAGAAGGTTTGTCGGAGTCTTGTTATCTGTATACTACTATGGTGCCTTTAATAACACAAGAGAATGTAAATGATTGAAATAAAAAAAGGAATAAAAAAAAAAAAAAATCCAGCAGTTTGAATGTCTACATGCACACTAATGTTCTTCTTCACTAAACATCAGTAAACTCTGATCAGCTAGTGTGTCATATTATTTTTTTAAAACATTTATCTTTGTAATGGTAATTTATTTTCATAGTAACTTCAATATGTGCAACACACAAAGTCTTACCTTTTTAAAGCGTTTCCCTACATTGCTTTTCCTGAACCTGTTAAAGTTTGCCTTGAACTTGTTTTTAGAAGCTGGGTCATTATGGTCCACTTGGTCCACCATCGGCTCTGTATATGTAGTTCCTTGATCGGCCATGGTTTTGGAGTAGTTTTCCTTCCAAATCTGTGTGAATTAAGGAGACAACTACTACAGAGAGATATCACTCACACACCACTGAGTACAAAATCTCAGTAGGGCACTGTCTGAAAAAACCTGGATAAAATTCTCACTGTTGGCCAGTCTGATTGGAGGACTGTGATGAATATCTTTTACCCACACCAGTTTGTCAGATGAGATTAGCTGTAGTTAAAATGTTTAGTTGGTTCCCAATAATCTCTATTACAGCAGTGTTACACAGTGTCAGGCCAGTATTCCCTTACTACTCCCTGTTATGGTGTGGTGTTACCGTAGCGATTCAGAGCTACTGAGGCTGACAGAGGCACTCTACTGATACTGGGGACACAGCTTAGCATCCAGGGCTACTGTGGCTGAGGAGGCACTCCAACAATGATACTATGTGTACACAGCTGGGCAAACTCTGAAATGAGACCAAACTACATAAGTGGTGTTCCTGTCCACTTTCCAGCATGTGCAGAGAACAGATTGTTGTATCACACATGGATACCACAAAGAATAATTGATACACACTATCACATACTTCTATTAACATAATATCAAGAACACAATGTCATTTGTTTAAACATTTAAATATTTAAAGGTGTAATACATAAATATGAAGAATGACATGAATGCCTTGATAATCTACAGGGAGAATGCATTATAACGAAAAGGTTGAGAAGAAATAGAAAAGAGATTGAAAGGCGAACGAGAAGGAGGTTTCGTGAACAGAAGAGTTGAAGACTTAAATAGATGCAGCTTGTGGGAAAGTGAAAAAGATCAAAGCAGAGGGGAAGAAAAGAGATGGAATATGATACAGAATAGGGAAAGGGAAGGCAAGTATGGAAAAAGGTAGACTAGTTATGTCTCATGACTCTTTAATTTTAAAGAAGAAATTTAAGACTGAAAATTTCAATCTCAAGGCAATGTCTAATTCTAAGTTTCAAATGAAGGTAGTTAAGGTTGTATAGGAAGAGATTTAGAATTCTTTACAAAAACTTAATGACTGGTAGACAGACCAAGAATGAGGGAAATATGGGGGAAAGGTGAGGAGGGGGATCATGTAGATTGGGTAAAGTGGAAAGGGAGGGGTCGGAAAATGGGGGGAGTAGGGGGAGGGGAGTGGCTTCTACACCTGACTCCATAGTCATTACTGTATTTCAAGGGCTAGTTCCTCTGTTCACTGAGATCCTGGCAACCTTCACTAAAATGTAACACATTTGCCATTCTGTTTACAGACAATCTACAGCTGAGGTCAAAATTGTTATTGTCTCAGTCAGGTGAACACATCCATTAGGAAGATATTTGAAATGCATTCAGAGACCTAGCTCAGAATATACAGACTCACAGAATATCTAATGCAATGCATGCTGTCACTTATGCATTATTCATAATGAAATAGAACTTTAACCTTTATGATAGAATTAATGAATTTGATAATTATTGTATTCTAATTTTTCTACTCTTAATTAGTTAAGAGCACTTGTTTGTTGATCCTATGTGAACTGTTTTCCGCTCTGCCAAAATTCTGTTGTCTGTTTTTCCTGTTTATCAAATGGTAAGGTGTTGTAGTACAGATTGCTATACCCATGACAAAGCAGCCAAGGCTTTCTTCCCAATATCACGATTTTTATGTAAGATGTCAACAACTGACAGACAAACTTATAACACAGGGTTTCCTGAGAAGCAGGTTAATGAAGATTATGGGGAAGTGTTCTGATTGTCATAATGATCAAACTGGGAAATATTGTATTTCCTAATCTTTTGCGATAAGAAGCTGGACATGTTTGATGCTCATTAATGTGTATCTTTGGTGGTGTTGTTGTTTATCTTGTTTTCATTAGGGACATTACTTCCCAGGACTAACAAAGATGCAGATGACATTCTCCCAAAACACGTGGTCTTATTCATCTTGTATTTCTAAGGGGTCTCCATGTGAATGTTTCTTTCATTCCTTTTCCAATCTAGTTTCATGTAATTAGAGTTTGAATTCTGAAGGCACTTTCTTTGATTTCTCAGAAGACGAGAGATAAATATTCAATATCTGAATATTCAATGTACAACTTCATTTTTGGGCTTAATGTGAGCACAATATGTATTTTCTTTTTTTTTTTTTTTCCTTCGAGTGATGAGATATTTCAGAAATTGTACAAATATGTACAAATGACATGTCCGGTACAGATAAACACTGTCTATCTTCACAGTCAATCAGATAGAGCCATGTTAAGAGAGCTGGTGACAAACTCACTGAACAACAAGCAGGAGGAACAAGTGTTTTTCCCAAGGATACAACCACAGCAGCACAGGGTGATCCCTGAAATCAGCCTCCTGAGAAACACAAATACCCAGAATAAGAATCAGGGACCCTTGAATCTCCATCTGTGGTTGTAAAGTCTGATGCTTTACCCTGACTGAGCTATCATGTCCCCTACCTCACTCTCAACATAAGCTGATACAATATTACTGCCAATACACTTATGAAGACTAAATTCACCATAATTAGAAAGAAAATTGGGCTTGAAATGTGTTATTCACTTGTGTGTCTATTGTACAACTTTACATACATTTGCCTGTTTAAAACATTACATGACTATTACTATGGTCACAAAGCCAATTTTTAATATATGTTAATACTTCAATACAATATGGATCTGATAAGAAATGTGCATTTCTAAAAAGATCTGTAACATCCAAATAATATGAAATGTAGATTTTATAAGGTATCACACTATTAAGATCTTTTAACTAATTGCAATTATTTAAATATACGGGTAATGTTTTGCTAAATTGGCTGTCAGTTTTGAAAATTTAATGTAAATCTACATGTATCAACATACCAGTATATGTCTCTAATATATTTTTGTCAGCATGCATATGTATTTTGAGGTTTAATAGATATTATGCAAATTTAATCAGCAGGTAACAGATATCAAATACGTGATAGCACAGGTACCTACAAATGAATTTTGAAGATAAGTATATATAACTATCTATAATAAGCTGTTTTTTTCATCCCGGAAGGTATCCATGGGGGAAAAGAAATAAAAATCCTGACATCCAATATTTCATTGCCCTTTAAGCGGACATGATACATGGTCTACCACAAAAATATTCTGGTTTAACATCTTTTAAGACCTTGGTATTCAGGCTAGCTACATCATCTTGTGACATGTTTTCCCAGCTCAAGTAACAATTTAGACACTTAGTTACTTTTTAACTTGTTGAGAACAATAAATAATTCTATTATGTAAAGGGCTTATACTGGCTGACATAATCTTGCTAAGACAAAATCTTCAACTTACTGTGATGAGAGAAAGGTTGACCGGAGCAAGAACTGACAAAAGAAAATATGTCTCTATAGTGAAAATGGTAAAATATATCATTTGTGTCATGTAAAGTAAAGAGTAAGCTTGAAAAACTTTCTGTTGAGAAGCTTGTCAGCCAAGATCTATTTGCTAAGAGAAGTACTAGCAAGCTTTATACCAAGTCCAAAAAATATCTAAATGTAGTCACTTAACAATAGCTATGCTGTATCAGATACAAAATAACCTTTAGATATCCACAGGCATGGAGAACGACCTGTTAACAAACATAAAATGTTTACAACCATAAAAATTATGTTGTACAGTACAGCAGAGGCTGTTCAGAAAGTGAATAAAGACAGCTAGAAATGTGTGAGAACAAGATGATCCTAAAATCATCAGCTCTTGGTCAGTAGAACAATTGAATTAAAAGAAAGAAGCATTTATAGATAAAACATAACATTCCATTAACTGGACAGACTTTGGCTGTTGTCCAAGAGTACTACAAGCAGCATACTTTAACTAAGAACTGACTGATTACAGAATATTGTCAATGGAAAGTAAAAAGCAAGAAAGAGTGTTGAAGTAATGACTAAACTGACCAGTTATTTTCATTGTCTACCACATACTGTATGCATCCTGCAATATGTTAAAGGGTTCAGCACATAACTTGCTCGTATATTTAGGACAATGAATTAATGGTTAAATAAAATCTGTCAGAAATAAAAAATATGGGTGGGCTTATTACAAGGCCTTATTCCCAGATAACATTAATCAAGACTTTTCAGTGTCTTGTTCTCCCTATCTCATCCTTCCTGTCTAAGCATTTTTTTTCAATCAGCCCCCTCTATCCTCCTCAAAATTTGAAAACCCTGCTTTACAAGAACTTACAGCACATCGAAGAGCACCAGATATACTGACCTTGTGTTAATAACTGTGAACTGTGGTCAAGATCATTAATTTAAACATATTTGACTGCTGTTCCAGCCTGTATGTTTATTAGTTATCTGTGACAAATTTGGAAAGAGAGGATTTTCCCTCATAACAATATAACAAATTTAATCAGCATGACCCTGTATTATTGAATATAGGTTGTCACAGCATTTCTAAAATTTGAGGTCACATGAGTGCTTCATTATTGGCATCATTAGCGGCACTGAATACTATTATATGTTATTACTATCATTATAAAACTGCTAGCTTTTCCAAGTGACATGCTGTACTCACTTACCATCTGCCAAAACCAACAATAGTACTTAGATCAAACTCTACTGTAGTTATGATATTGGGGTTGTACCAAATGAGACACTTTTGATGTAGACGTTTTGACATTTGTGGGCTAAGGAACTTAACAATGCATGTAGTATTAGTTTAACTGTATCAGAAGCAACACAAGGCAAAAAAAAAACAACTGAATGCCTCCACAGTGTTCTGATAATCTATCAACACTCTGTCAATCTAAAAAAAACATTCAGTATTGTTTTCATAAGTTAATTTCTATAACTGCATCTGGTTGCACAGTACAATATGCCCCTTCTGACACTCTAAAAAAAGGTACTGTTTTGATAAACCCAGAGTGTGTTCAACCAGGCCAAAATAACAATGATAGCCCTAGGAGGTATGTTAACAGGCGATTAAATGCAGGTCACAAACACTGCATACTCATCTAGCTTCTTCCTCATAGCTGAAGCAATATGCTTTGAAATCATGTTTGAATAGTATCTTGTCAAGTGTGGGCCTTCTTGTAATTAGATATAAGGTTTTGTTCATCCTCTCACTCTCCTCCACTCCCCCCACCTCCCTGTCAAAAAAACAAAAAGGAATCCTATGTGGCAATATATACTTCCTGCATGCTAGGTAATAAGAGATGTTATGTGTTGGGTGGTGGTCCCCTGGGCTTGAGGGATAAGATAAAACAAAAGAAGACTAAGGAATTTTTGACCTACTATTATTAAAAAAGCTTACCTGCC